CTCCTCCGCTGCGGCTGTTGGAACCTCTTCTCTGGTGTCCTTCACGGCAAGTATCAGAATCGTCAGAGTCCATGCAAAAAAGGAAGAAAGTCGTGTTCGCGGAACCCGCGTCGTGACTGGGAATATGGAAGCCTCACGCAGAGGACTGGAATATGGAAGCGCACGAAAGGGGGGCTCGACCAGCACCTGTGTCGCGGGCCGCGCTGCCGAGCCCCCAAAGGCTGACCTGTCCAGCTGACTTGACAGATGGATTACTTGAGCCAAAATGGCTACGGAGGAGGAGGAGGAGGAGGAGGAGGAGGAGGAGGAGGAGGAGGAGGAGGAGGAGGAGGGGGAAGAGGAGGCTTTGATCGGAGGGCGCCGAAGGGCGACTGCTCGGCAACGCGCGGCCCTGCACTCCTTGATCCCAGAGACGACAGGGGGCAACATGTCCTGGCGAATGGCTCAACCATATCCAATTGCGAGCACAGCGATGGCAACTATCTTCTTTCGGTGACGATCCCTATGGGGCCACGAACTGCGCGAGGGGCGTGCCGGAATGCGCCGCGGTGCGGTTATTCTTTGCGATTGCGCGGCATGGTTGGCTGCCACATGCAATGACGGACGGAGTTGGCCACTGCGGACACCCAGCCGCGCTGGGCAACTATGCGGGAAACGCCCGGCCCCCGCGCATTGCTGTTCCCACGTGGTTGGCCCATTGGGCGTTTAAGAACCGCCGCGGTGCGGGCACCCAGCCAGATCGTTCAATCGCCCCCCCCCCGCCCCCCCCCCCTCCTCGTCAGATGTTCCTCTTCCCCCCCCCCTCTTCCCGCCCCCCCCCCCTCCGCCACCTCCGCCGACGGCCAGGGCTCGACTGGGCGCCGAGAAACGGAGGCGCTGACGCCCCCCCCGCAACGCGGCGTCGGCCGAATCAGAATAACTCGCGAGGAATTCTGGGGCGGGAGCTCGGCAACCGGGGCCAACTGCGGAGGGGGGGGGAGAGGAAGGGGAGGGGACTGACGGACTGAGGAGGCGGGGTGTTTCCCGTGCCCCTGGTAACACTGCACAGCTAGTAAAAGACTGGCGCGCCCTGGCTCGCTGGCGCGCACCCCTGGCTCGCTCGCGGACGGCCCTGGGCAGCTGCTGCTTGAGCGGGGGGCGGGTGATGATGGTGATGCCGATGATGATGAAGATGATGATAGATGACGGTGCTGATGATGATGATGATTGCGATGATGGCAGTTGTGGCGATGATGATGGTGGAGGTGGAGGTTGAAGTGGCGGTGGAGATGACGATGTGGAGATGATGATGGGGAAGGCCATGTGAATGGTGATGCGGTCATCCTCCTGTTCTGAAGTGTGTCCTGGGCCCTTGTGGAGCTCGTGCTGAGGTTAGTCCTGGGCCGCGTGGCGCCTTATCCTTGCCCCGTCTTGGGCCGCCTCGCCCTGGGCCGCTTCGGAAGCCCAGGGGGCTTCGGAATAGTTCGGGGGCCTCTGGGGCCTCGGAGTTGTCTAGGAGCCCCTGGGGCCTCAGGGTTGTCCTGTTTTTTTTCTTCGGCCCTTGCAGTGCGGGGGCAGCTGTTCATGGGCCTCTGGGTCCTCGGCGCTGTTTGCGGGCCTCGTTGGCGGCTTTGGGCTGATTCGCAGAGTCTGCAAGCGTTCCTCCTCGGAGTCTCGCTGGGCCCCGCGGGCCTCTGTAGCTCGAGCGCTCGAGCACGTCGGGCGCGCGAAACGCACGCGGCGACGGTTGGCGAGCGCGGCAAGGCTTTAGGTTAAGAAGCACACTCCTCGCGCGCGAAAGCTCGTCGCGAGGCTGGCGCCAGCGGCGAAGGTGCATTAGGTCGAGCCCACGCTGCAGATGGTTACGCAAGCCATGAAACATCACGCGCTTACTGGGCGCCATCGGAATGCTCTTCTGGGGCCCCCATCGGCGCGCCCTCAGGCGCCGCTGGAGACTGACCGCGGAACTCGCGAACCGCAGAAGGCAGTGCCAACACAAGTAGTCTGAAAGCCTTCCACCGCAACACTTTGGCTCCTTAGCTCCATCCTGATCTGCCCAAGCTCATCGCGAAGATCGTCGGGGCCCAGCCCAGGCGGCGGCCTCGGATGCACCGGCGCCAACGCACCACCTTCATCGCGACGCGCCCGCGGCACCGTGCACCCAACGCCACCCGCAGGCGCATCGCCGCGATCACCAACTTGTTTCGCTGGATCGAAGTCCCACGGGCCCCTGTAATCATGCCCCGAATTTGGAATCACCCTCGAAATCAGCTTTTGCCTGGTCTGCGAATATCTCCTTCGGCTTCCGCCGCAGACCACTCTGATGTTCGGCGCGTCCAAGTTGCGCAACAGACACTCGAACGCCCGCGCCTCGGGCTGCCACTGGTACCACTCTGGAATCACCCCTTCACTTGATGGACTAATGGCCTGTGCTTCGGCACCTCTCCAGCTAACGCTGGTCAGCCTGGTTCCACCACGCGCGCTCGCCCTTCTTCTGCGGCGCGCCCGCTGCTCGCTGTTGCGCGCGCGGTGCGTCTATCGGCCCTTTGGGCCAAGGCGAACTGCGACGGGGTTCGAGCCGAGGCGGCCGCGGTGGCCAACGTCACTTCATTATATTATGCATTCCGTTCTGCGGGTTGGCCCCCTAGAGGCTGAGAGAAACAGCCAGCGGTGTCAGAGGGGTGCAATATGGGCGGGTGCCAGCCCGTCGGCCTCGAGCCCCCCCGGAGCTGATCAAGAGGGCACTTTTCGAAGGCATTGCGTCGCGAGGAGATGGGAACCCCCAGTTCCAATCGAGGCGACGCGTCCTCTCTCGGGGATGAGCTTGGAACCCCGATGACCACAAGCAAAATTTTCGCTAACCCACCGTGGCGCTCTGTCTGCGATGGGGGATTGGGCGCCGCGCCGCGACTATCCTGAACGTATCGATGCTGCGGGGCATATCCCCCGCCATCTCTCTGAACGCAGCGCGCGTGGCGCCGCTGAGGGTTTGTGTTCAAGGGGCCAGTATCCACCGGGAAATCGAAATCGGTTGTCGCGGAACTGAGTCATTAAGCTCTGAGGCACTGGCGCCGCGCCCCCCCCCCCCCTTCCTCGACCTCCGACCGGCGAGCCTGGTCGGAGCAAGAACTCGGGCTGAACGACAGCGCAATATATGACAGTCGACAGAAGTAGGTGGACACATGAGGTATGAAGGCGTTGGAAGTCCACGCCCCTCCTCTAACCTCACTCCCACTCTAACCTCACTTCCACCAAAACCTCCCCATTGCCATCGGCAAACTCCTGCATCCCAGAAGCTCTTGCACCTGAGCTACGCGCAGAAACCGATGAACTGGCGCCGCTGAGACGAAGTTAGCGCTGCGACACCCCGCGCCACGACAGAATGACACCCCGCGCCCACGGGAGATTCATTGCCGATATATCTGGCAGCAACCGCAAGAAAGTTCAACATTGGCCACATCTGCGAGCATAGCAGAACTTCCTGGCCACGTCGGCGAAGCGAATATCGTAGCCCAGCGAGTAGAATCCAAACGCAATCATATTTCACGCCGCGCTCACCCTTGGCGACAACCCGCAGGCCGATGACCAGTTCCCCCTGTGGCCACCCACTCAGAATATACCAGCAACGAACAAAAAGTGCTGGGCACATCGCATCGGTTCAGACTCACGCGAAGGTAGTGTCCCTAATAGCTCAAAACAAACATGTTCCTCCTTTTCCTCCTGTTCCTCCTCCCCCCGCTCCTCCATCTCCTCCTCCTCCCCCCCCCCTCCTCCTCCTCCTCCTCCTCCTCCTCCTCCTCCCTCCTCCTCCTCCTCCTCCTCCCCCTCCTCCTCCTCCTGCCCTGCTCCTCTCCTCCTCTCCTCTCCTCCTCCTCCTCCTCCTCCTCCTCCTCCTCCCCTCCTCCTTATCCTCCTCTTCCTCCTCCTCTTCCTCTCCTCGTCCTCCTCCTCTTCCTCCTCCTCTTCCTCATCCTCTTCCTCCTCCTCTTCCTCCTCCTCTTCCTCCCTCCTCCTCCTCCTCCTCCTCCCCTCCTCCTCCTCCTCCTCTCCTCCTCCCTCCCTCCTCCCCACCTCTCTCCTCCTCCTCCTTTCCTGCTCGTGCTCCTACTCCTCCTCCTCGCCCCCCTCGCCCTCCTCGTCATTTCCCTTTCCTCGTCGCCATTGTCCTCCTCCCTCCTCCTCCTCCTCCTCCTCCCCCCCCCCTCCTCCTCCTCCTCCTCCCCCTCATCCTCCTCCTCCTCCCCCTCCTCCTCCCCCCCCCCTCCCCCTCCCCTCCCCCCTCCCCCCCCCCTCCCCCTCCCCCCCCCCCTCCTCCCTCCTCCTCCTCCTCCTCCTCCTCCTCCTCCTCCTCCTCCTCCTCCTCCTCCTCCTCCTCCTCCTCCTCCTCCTCCTCCTCCTCTTCCTCCTCCTCCTCCTCCTCCTCCTCCTCTCCTCCTCCTCCTCCTCCTCCTCCTCCTCCTCTTCCTCCTCCTCTCCTCCTCCTCCTCCTCCTCCCCCTCCTCCTCCCCCTCCTCCTCCTCCTCCTCCTCCTCCCCTCCTCCTCCGCCTCCTCCTCCTCCCTCCTCCTCCTCCTCCTCCTCCTCCTCCTCCTCTTCCTCCTCCTCCTCCTCCTCCTCCACTTCCTCCTCCCACTTCCTCCTCCTCCTCCTCCTCCTCCTCCTCCTCCTCCTCTGCGAAGATCTGCTTGGAATGAAAAGATGCTTCTTTCCTGCTGCTCGTGCCGAGCTTGACCCAAGGCCTACGGATCGAGTCTGCTGCATGCTGAAACACAACTGCGTGCTACAAGCAACAACTGCGGCTGCTTTTCACACAACCTCTTCTATCTCGATACGTAGGGCCATTTGCTTTATAACCCGGGCTATCGTCAATACGGAATCTGTATCATGCATCCGGGCGCCCTGCGGCCAGGCTGGCCTGCGCGGTTCAGGTACGCGCCCCGTTCAGGGAAAAACCTTACTAGGGCAGCATTCACATCAGGACGCCTCTCACTCACCGGGGTCACCCCCGCCACGATTCTCGGCCTTGGTCTCATACTTGCGCCAGTAGACGTATTCTCCCGTCTTGAGGACATGCTCCAAATAGCTCTGATCCTTCATGTGCTGTGTCAGGGGGTCGGCAAGCATCAGGCGGGTGTCTGTCCATATCAAGCCGTCTCCGACTTCCAATCGATCTCGAAGATCTGCGAGGTCCAACGCGATCCTCCTCTCCGTCGGCATGCTCCCTTCCTTACGGCAGAGGTCGACGAAGCTCTTGCAGTCCGTCGCGCACAGGCTGGGGATCTTGCCCATCAATGTCGCCCAATCGCTCTCTGATTCCCAGCCGTGCAGTATCTCGGCCAATGCCGTCCTCACGAAGCACGCCCTGTCGAACCCGTAGCTCGCACTGGCCGCCTCCGCTGCCAATGTAGATCTTACCACGCGATGGATCTTGCTCGAGCACCAGTCCACCACGTTGACTTTCTTGGCTTCGAACTTCTCGTCGGTCAGCAGGAGAATGAATCCTTGTTGCGATCCACTCCTCGGCTGTCTGTCGCACGAGGCATCGTGTACACACATACATCCAAAACGTCCCGATCCATCGCCGCGATGAAATCGTAGCTTGACGTCACGCGTCACCATCTCCTTGGCCATGCTCAACACCGTGTTCGCCTTGCACAGCTGGCCGACCGTCAAGTCTGGCGTCCGCTGTTGCAGGTCACTGACGTCATAGGCTAAACCAGGTAGTGTCGTCCCCGCGGGCCACGATAATTGTTGTCCCAGGCTGCGGTACTTCGAGAGCTCTTCTTCGGTCGCCTTGCTCTCGGGGTCCTTCCTCCTGGATACCGGCACGAAGATCTTCTCCATCTTCTCGATGTACTCGTGCTGGTCTACCTCTATGGACTTATCCGGCAGCTGATTGATGCGCCGGCCGAGGAACTCGAACTGACCCTGCTTCTCCTTGGTCACGTTGAGCTTCTCGCGTACGATCTCCTTCGCTCTGGCGAACCGCTCGCCTGTACCGCCCCAGAGTCCGTCGTCCACGTGAACACATAAAACCGCCTCGATCTTGCCTTTGTCGCTCCGAATGACAAAAACTCCTTTCGTGGTCTTGAGCGGCTGGAATCCGGCCTGGATCAACACCTCCGAGAATCTTTCCCACCATAATCGAGGGGACTCTCGTAGCCCGAATACACCCTTGAGCAGTTCCACCAAGCTCCCAGCAGGAACTCCAGGTAGCCCTTCTCGGGGAGGCATCACATATAACCGTCTCGTGTTTGTCTTGCCGGTGAGGAACGCCGAGCCGATGTCGAACGCCCCGAGATCCCAGCCAAAATGCGCCGCCAAGTTCAGCAGCAGCATCAGCCCTACCATGGGCGCCACTGGTGCATCTGTCCGTGTACCTGCCGTTTCTGACGAAATCGCCATGCGCTTCGCATGCTTGATGCCAAGCTTGCCCTGGTTGTCCGGGTCGAGATGCCCCGGGATCACAAGTCGGCTGTTCGGCTGGCCCTCCTTGAGGGCATGCGCGAAGCGCGCCGGCACCTTGAAGATCCTCGACTTGTCGACCTTCGCCGCCTCATCGGGCAGAACCACCCTGACGGCCTCGTGCTCCAGGTGCTGGTTCCAGTTCTTGGCGATGCTCTTGTTGAACCCGAGCCACTCCGCCTTCGTGAACTTCCTCGAGTCCAGCTCCTTCCCCTTGGTGCCTGCTTGAAAGGGACGGAGTTCCAGCGAGAACACGTCGTTCATCGCGTACAGCGTCTCCGTGTCCAGGTCCGGGACTGGGGTCTCGACGGCTTGGTTGAACACCGCCTCCACCACTGGTGCCTGAGGCACAACCTCTTCTATCTGCGATGGTGGTGTAGGTGGTGGCGTAGGCGCCCCAACACTCCCTGCTGGTGATGGCTGAGCTTCGGGCTCAGGTGTCTGTCGTGGTTCTTCCACTCGTTCTGAGACAACTCCCGGCACTGGTACTTCAACAGGATTCGGAGGTATCGTCGTACTCTCCATCGAGCTCGGTCTCAAATCCTCGAACGTGTGCTGACCCCTCGAGATCCCGCTCAGGTCCATGTTGTAGTTCTCGAGGATGCTGCCGATGGCCTCGCTCGCCAAGCGCTCCTCTGGAGTTGCCGACCTGATATGTTGTGGTGCCACCAGCAGGAGGTTCCCGTTGAACACCAGCCAATACGCTTCGTTCTGGCCTTCGCGCCCCCACTCCCTGCCGAGGATGACTGCTGGACCGTGCCAACGGTCTGCTCGTCTTGTAGATCGTGCCTGCGGCTTGAAGGTACCTGCCGCTCGCCAGAAGAACACGCACTCTCCGGGCATCCACGGCGAAGGTGTGGGTCGATAGTTGTGGACGATGGCCTTCCTCCACTTGTCGCTGTTGTCCAGCTTCGCCAGCGCGACCTGAGCCGCCTCGCGTATCTTCTGCGACCGCTGGACCTGGTAGTCCTTGAGCACCGCGTCGTGCACGGCGATCTCTGGGTACTGTTCGTCGCTGAGGAGGCTGTCCAGCACGCTGCCTGGTAACCTGTCTCCACAGCCGAAAACTCTCACCCTGGGGCTGTATCCTGATGGATCCACTCTTCGGTTCTTGCAGATGTTCGCCGCCGCTATGGCTAACTCCATCTCGGCCGGGCCCTGGATGGTGCACTCGTCCACAATCGCGCGCACGATGTCGTTGCTGACGGCCCCGTGGCGCTCGACCAGCCCGCGTTGCCACGGACTTTCCGTGGGCACCACTCTCATCGTGACTCCCACCGACTCCGCGTAGGGTGCAAAATCCTTCCTGAACCCCAAGCCGTTGTCGGAGTGGCACACGATAGGTACTCCGGCCCAGGCGCACCACTTCGCCATGAACATCCTGGCTGCCTCTGCACTGGAGGGATTCTCCAGCATGATCAGGCACGAGAACTTCGTCGCGAAATCCACGCAATTCAGGGCCAGGTACTTGCCTCCACTCGCGTCCTTCAGCTCCTTGGTGCCCACCCCGACCGCGATCCCAAATGACGTGGGTCTCTGTCGGCTCGACACCACTCGACGTCGCTCTGGAGCTGCTCGTCTCGCGCACACCTCGCACTGCCATACCTTCGCGTAGTCCAGGTGCAGCTGGGAGGCCCCGCCTAACCTTATCACTCGTAGTAGCGCTTCACGGCCGCAATGACCCAGATTCCGGTGTGCTCGTCGTACTTCCGCGCGAACTTCAGGCGGAACATGGGCCACTTCTTGTTGGCCTCTCGTCGTAGTGAACATCTGGCCCGCTGGGAGATCCTCTGGATACAGCGGGTCCCTGGTGATGTCCGCCTCCTCTGGCACGTCCCCTTCCTGTTCCACCTCGTCCTCCGGGTTCTCGTCCTCTTCCGCTGTCGTCTGAGGTACTTGCTGCTCTTGAGGCTCCGGTGGTTGTTGTCCTTCAGGATCTTCTGGGGGTACTTCCGGTAGAGCTTCAGGTAGAACTTCAGGTAGAACTTCAGGTGGGGCTCCTCGGAGTCCGGGCGGAACCTTCTTCAGCATCGTCACCACCTTCCGTAGTTCTCCTCGCGTGCCCGAGGTTTCTGGTCCATCTTGGTCCACCTGTTTGTCAAACTCTTCGCAATACCACTTCTTCCCGCCACGGTCACTTGTCTTCTTGACCGCATAAACGGATCTCACGGTGTGCTCGGGGTAGTTCTTCGACCATAGTTGAACCCGACCTTGCCCCACGTGTATCACAAGGTCGCCACTGCCATGCCAGCCGGGCGTCAACTTCGTCAAATACCTCGTCTGGTCGAATGAGACTGTACGTCGTAGTTGGCTAGCGCCGCCATGTGAAAACGTCGGCGCTCGCACCTTCTTGATGACGCCCTTCTTGTCGTTACCCAAACGTGAACGCGTGGGCGTGGTGATAGGTGGAGTAATCGTAATCGGAGGAGTCGTAGATGGAGGAATCGTAGATACAACCCTCACTCTCTTCTCTTTTTGTTGGGCGTGTGGGGCTGGCATTCTCCGTTTTGATATCGTCGGCGTGGTAATGCGTCGTCGTTTCGCCTCGTTCGCAAGGGCGTCGTGTGTAGTCCTTATGTCCAACGCCTCCGTGAACACGCTGATGACGGCCTCGGCGAGCTCCTTCGTGTAGCCGCCGGCGTGCGTGCTCGTCCTCATGTTTTGCGTGGCCAATCGCCCTTCGATCTTAGCGCGTTGTCGGTGTCCTGGGCACCGTCGTTCGAGCTTGTCCGCCATCATCTGCGTGGACATGATGATTCGGGATGGCTTCTTAATAGGTAAATCCGAATCTGGATGTCGGAGCCCGAACGCGCACATGTCCACCACCGTCGTGCCGTGCGACTTCAGCAGCTCCACTATCGGCTCCTCCTGGAAGGCCTTGCTTGTGAGCGGGTTCTCGCCGTAGAAGTAGGCCCCGCGCTTGCGATGGTATTCAGCCACCCTCTTCACGAACCTCAACGCTCCACGGGACTGCTGTTGTCGCACCTGCAACTCCTTCTGGAACGCCGGGCGGTGTGCCTGGTAGTTGTGCATCACCGCCCAGGGGTCGCAGGGCCAAGCCATGGCCACCGCGTCCGGCTTGTTGTCGACGACCTCCCTCCAGGCTCGTGCCCGCCCAGAACGCGTGTAGAGGTCGAAGCCCGTCTCGATGCTAATTGGCGGCATGACCTGCCACCCTTGCGCCGCCGCCTCGCACGATAGAACAAGCGTCCACGATAATATCTCCAGGAACTTCCACCTCTTGGATATCGACTTCACTGTCGGTGGGTCCCTGTGGACGGATCTCTTCGCCTCTGCAGCCAACGCATCAGCAACTCCTCTCGTGGTCCTCTGCAACAGCTTCTTCCTACCTCGCTGTAGGACTCCAACACGCGAGAAATCCTTGAACCCGAGTTCGCCGGCCTCCTCCTGTGGGGCCATGTCCATCTTGCCATTGATATGGAAACACTCCGGGAACTCGTTCGGGTTGCCATACTCTCCGATGTCTACGAGGAAATGTCCCGACCGTGATTGTTTGATCGGCTTCTTGAACACTCCGGCCTCCTCGATGTCCATCACCTTCTTGCGGTAATTGACGATCACGCCTAGATCCTGCATAGCCTGCTGCGATAGCAGTGGTGGTGTTCGTCCTTCCACTCGAGCCACCTCAATGACTCCGTGTGCGCCATTTATCCCAGCAGGATAGACGAACGACTCCGCGCTGACTGCCACGTCACCGCCGCCGAACCTGAACTCCTCATTGATGTCCTTCTTGACCGGCTGGAGGCCCAAACTCTTCAGGTGGGCCTGCAAGTTGTCGTGCCTCTCGTGACCTGCGACGCTGCGCCTGCACCCGCTATCGTTGATTAGCTCCGTCGTGCCGATGTCGTCCCACAGCGCGTCATTGACCACGAGCGCGTCCTTTTTGTCCTCGCGGCTGTGCGCCTTGTCCCTGATTTCCTTCGCGTAGTTCGTCTTCGGGATCCGCTGGACGTACCGGTTGCAGTTCTTGCAGATCGCGAACGTCCAGGTAGATGTGCTTGTCCAGCGTACGTTGACCAGGACCTCGCCGGAGCCCGCATTCTCGTGCTCGCAGGGGTTCTCCACCTGGTCGGTGATGAACGATATCAGCCTATCGATCCTCTCCTGCTTTGAGCCGCTGTAAGGCTGCTCGAGCATCAAGAGTATATCCTGCAACTGCTTCGCCGTCAGGATCCTGAACACCTCCAGCTCGCAGTCGGTCACGTACCCCGTGTGGTGGTCGCGCGCGCGGTTCGTGAAGTCCACCACGAACTCGCCCAGCCACGCCCTGTGCCGATCGACCAACGAGCGTACGTCGTCGCCGCTGATGTGGATCCTCTCAGACTGGAACTTCGAAGCCGCTGGTGTCGATTTAGGCTTCGGCCGCGCTGAGGGCTTTGGCTTCTTGCCGCCATCGGCACTTCCAGCCGCTCCAGAGGGTTTCTTTTCCACATCCTGCCATCCGTCAGCTTCTTCATCCATGAGCGTCGCGTGCAGGTTGGATCGGAGGAGTCGCCCGACCAACTCCTCCCGCGGTCCAGTCGATTTGTGCTTCCTCCATGCCAACTCCGCACTGAGCTGCTCCTCGGTCCAGCTCTTGTAGACCCCCTCGGATTCGTCTGAGTCCTTCTCGAAGGAGTCGTCTTCGAACTCTGAGCCCGGTGTCGGAGGCCTCCTGGGATCCAGCCCACGGTTGTCGCTCTCTTGCTTCACCTCCGCCTTGACCTTCTGCGAACCCAACACGAAGGCATCCACCGGTCCCGGATGGGGAGATGGCAATGCTTCCGCTCCGTCGTTCAACCACTTGAACTCCATGTGCGCCGTACTGTCCGTAGCCATCGTTGCTGCCACGTTCGCCGAGGAAGAACTCTTCTTGCCGTCGCCCTTGCCGCCAGGCTTGAACGGAGACGTAATCCCCGCGATCACCTTCGGGCACTCTGGGTCGCCCTTCCAGTGGCCTGGCTGAAGGCAGTCGTTGCACACTCCGGACTTCTTTCCCCGGCCGCCACTCGCGGCATTCTTCCCGCGCCCCTTGCCGCGGCCAAACTGCTTCTTCTTCGCCTTGAAGCCCTGGTAGAACGCGTCCAGCACCACCTCCTCTTCGTCGTCCATGGCGTCCGAGTCCTGCTCGCCGTACTCGCACTCGTCCTCCTGGTGGTTGTCTGGCGCCTCCTCCGCCTCGAGGGCGTCTTGTGGCTGACCGTCTTCGTCCTCGTAATCAGGGTAATCTTCATCTTGGCTGAACTCTTCATCGGCGTCCATTCCACCTGCGCAATTGGCATTCCAGACCGGTCGCCGAAACCAGCCTTTTCCACCTCCCGATGCTCCGGAAGGTTTCCTCCTCCTGCACTGCTGCCTGAAGTAAACTTCGAAGTGGGCTGTCCAAACCGCGGAGGGAACTGTCGATACTGCGTGTGCTTGCTCGGGTGCTCGTTCCTCTTGTCCACACGCCGCTTCTCGTCTAGGTGAACATCTCCATAGACCATCTTGATCGTCGCCTCGATCTTCTCCGAGTTCCACTCCGCACCTGCTGCTGCTAGTACCTGCCGCTGGGCTTCTCGTGATAGCCCTGAGCTCCGCAAGAGCTTTTTTGCGAATGAGGTGTCGGAGTACGTAGTGCCAGGGTCGTGTACCTTAAGATTACGCCTGGCCGTCTTCAACCTCGCGATGTAGTCGTCGACATCTTCTCCGATGCCTCTGCGGCACCTCTCGAACGCCCTGAGGTGCTTCTCGCTGCGCTCGTAGTCCTTCTCGGTGAACTCCTCGTCCAGAATCTCCATCAGCTTCCGCAGCCGACCTCGCTGCTGAGCACGTCTAGGTCGAGCGTCTCGACCAACTCCCTTGGCTGTCCATCGCCCTTCTCCAGGCTGAGGTACACCAAGGGTCCGAGGTCCGCTGGAGCCACCTTGTAGATCTTCTCGATGATCTCAATCTCTTTTTGCCACTCGCGATAGGAATTGGGATTCCTCGCCAACTCCTTGCTGAGGACCGTGAGCTTCACCCCTGGCACTCGGCCATCACCTCGAAACTGCAGACCGCCTCCGTCGGCGCCTGCTTGTTCTCCTGCCTCTGGCATCGTGCGCAGGAGATCCCAACTGCTGTTCACAGACTCGCTGTCCGTGCTCTCCGTCGCGTCAGTGTCTGTGGCCTGCTGCGGCCACTCACTCGATGAGCGCTGCCCACTGACTCCGTGAATGATAGGAACCAAACGCTCCCGCTACCAATGCGAATATCTGCTTGGAATGAAAAGATGTTTCTTTCCTGCTGCTCGTGCCGAGCTTGACCCAAGGCCTACGGATAGAGTCTGCTGCATGCTGAAACACAGCTGCGTGATACAAGCAACAACTGCGGCTGCTTTTCATCCTCCCCCCCTTCCTCCTCCTCCTCTTCCTCCTCCTCCTCCTCCTCCTCCTCCTCCTCCTCCTCCTCCTCCTCCTCCTCCTCCTCCTCCTCCCTCTCTCCTCCTCCCTCCTCCTCTCCTCCGCTCCTCCTCCTCCTCCTCCTCCTCCTCCTCCTCCTCCTCCTCCTCCGCCTCCTCCTCCTCCTCCTCCTCCTCCTCCTCCTCCTCCTCCCTCCCCCGCCTCCCTCCTCCTCCTCCTCCTCCTCCTCCTCCTCCTCCTCCTCCTCCTCCTCCTCCTCCTCCTCCCCTCCTCCTCCCCTCCCCTCCTCCTCCTCCTCCTCCTCCTCCTCCCCTCCTCCTCCTCCTCTCCTCCTCCTCCTCCTCCTCCTCCTCTCCTCCTCCTCCCTCCTCCTCCTCCTCCTCCTCCTCCTCTCCTCCTCCTCCTCCCCTCCTCCTCCTCCTCCTCCTCCTCCTCCTCCTCCTCCTCCTCCTCCTCCTCCGCCTCCCCTCCTCCTCCTCCTCCTCCTCCTCCTCCTCCTCCTCCTCTCCTCCTCCTCCTCCTCCTCTTCCCCCTCCTCCTCCTCCTCCACTCCACAACAATTACACAATATGAATACTACTCTCCCACTTCCCCTGATGGCGTCCGGAAGATGTTCGGCACCCCCCCGCGTACTGTTTTTTTACACACAGGATTCCCCGGAGTTGGGTTTTCGCTTGTGTTTTTTTCTAAAATGCTGCTCTCGCTGAGGCGCTGGCCTAATTTTCGGGCTCCCGCTCCTTCCGAATCGTGTTCCCGCTGCAGCGCTGGCCTCATTTCCGCGCTCCCGCTCGTTCCGAATCGTGCTCCCGCTGCAGCGCTGGCCCAATTTCTGCGCCTCTCGTTGTTCCAAAACGTGCTCCCGCTGCAGCGCCGACGTTTTCGATCCTTTTTAAGAAGCCCCAAATCTAGAAAATGATCCCCGGCAAAAACATTGGAGGTGATTACACATCCGGTGTCGATTCGTTGATTTTTGGGGCCGCAGAAAGCCCCCCCCCCCCTTTTGGGCGCTTCCCTCGCCGCCGCCGCCGTCGTCGTCTGCGTCTTTGTCGCGATTGTTTCTACCTCTACCATTACTCAATATGAATGCACTTGCACAACTCTGACATCGGACCCACTCTACCATTACCCAATATGAATGCTACTCTCCTTTCACCCCTGCAGAAATTTGAGATCCGGGTGGGGGACGCGCGTAACGGCAGCGGGCAGCTGGCGCGGGTGCCGCTCCGGCGCGGTCGCGTCGTCGTCGTCGTCGTCTTCGTCGCCGGTCGTCCTCATCGTCGTCGTCGTCATCGTCGCCGCCGTCGTCGTCGTCGTCGTGGTTGTCGTCGTCGTCGTCGTCGTCGTCGTCGTCGTCTTCGTTTTCATCGCGCCGTCGTCCTCCTCCTTTCCCTCTTAGGTAACAGGGTCAGATGCGAAGCCCGATTCGGTGAGAGGACAATGAAGTAGCTCAATGGGAAGGGATGGGAGGGAGGGGTAGGATGTCAGATGTTGACGCGAGCGCACCTAGCTTGCCCCTCCCCCCTCCCCCCTCCCCCTCCCCCCCTCTGAATCCCCTCCCCCCCTCCCCCTCCCCCCCCCCCCCTCCCCTCCCCCCCTCTGAATCCCGAAGAGCCTCAAGAGGTCCCTGAAGTGATCGAACTTGCTCACCTCTCTCTCTCCGAAGATGTCCAAAACAACTGTCCACGATTTACGAGTAAATCAGAATCCCTCTCCACGCGATGAGCACCTTTTGCTCTCCTGAGACGATCGCGGCCCCGGTAGCGTGATCTGTGCAGCTGCAACCAGCTGCCCAGGTAAAACAGGCCCGCCCGCCCACACCTTGAGCCAGTGGGCGGCGGTGACAGAACACGGCAGAGCATGACATCACAGAGAAGCCTCTAGATCTGAACTGCACAAGCAATTGCTACTCTGTGTTCCTTTCAGACAGGCGGAAAAGAAGCTGCCGTGTTCACGGGGTCGTCCTGACCCTGCCGAGAGCTGCTCGGCTTCACGTTGCCGTCCTCTGTCTGTATCTCCCTGGAGAGCTCCTGCTGCTGCCTGGACTTCCGGCGCTCTTCGAAGACCTGCTTGGCGGCCACGGCGTCCTCGGGCTTCGCGGCATCGAAGATGCCCTTGCCGATGGCGGCCCGTTTCCGTGCACTCATGAAGTTCTCGTCGTAAATGAGCCTCCACTCCTGCTTCTCCAGGAACAGCTTGAGGACACCGAACGCTTGCCAGTTGCCCTTTGTGAACCCGTCCGCGATCTGCGCGTGGGAGTGCACCCGCCTGACCACGGTCTTTCCTTCATCGAGTGCGTTCCGAAGAGCCAGGGCCTCGATCGCTGTACGTCGCTCCTCGAGCCCGAGTCCGGCCGACTGCGACCGTGCCACCCCGTCGTAGAACGCCTTGCAGTCCGTGACCAGCACTGCCGGCAAATGATGGAGCATCGCCATCTTCTCCTGGATGGGAGACTTGTCTAGCAGGATCTCGGCCAGCACCATCCGCACCATGCATTGTTCGCCTTCAGCATCTCCAGCTTCCTGAACTTCTGCGGCCAGGCTTGAGCGAGCCACGCGTCGAAGTTTCTTGGAGCCCCAGTCGAGCACGGTGAACTGCGACTTCTCGCCGTCCATGGCCTTTGTGGCTGCAACGGCGGTGATGTAGCCTCCTTGTGAATGGCCATCTGGCCGACTGGCCCAGGCGGCATCGCACCGCGTGAAGACGGCCAGATCGTCCAAGTCATGGCGGTGGATCTGAAGTCCCATGTGTTGGTTCTGCTTGATCAGCTTGACGATGTTGTTGGCGGCCGTGAACAGACTGCGCGTGCCCTCAGGAATCTTCGACTGGAGCTCGGCGACCCACGCGAGTAGGAAGGGTATGGCGTTGACGCCCAGCCAGTAGACCTCCCCACAGAACGCACGCAGCACGGTCTGGTCCTTGCGCGCAGGTTGTCTGTCGGTCGGTGCCGCCCTCCGTCAGGTGGCCGTACTTCGGTGATCTTGTCGACGTAGGCGCGCTGGTGCAGGAAGAACCCCATCTCGTTCTCCTCGATGGTGACCCCGCACTGCTCCAGGCTGGTGATACTGTCGTTCATGTCCTCCCAGGTGCCCCACTTGTAGAGCTTCCGGATCTGAGACACGATGTTGGTCCACTTGGGGTGAGCGGTGTCGCCTGCCAGAATGAAGACATCCACGTGCGCCATGACCATACCGATGAGGCGTCTGGTCTGTGGGCACCGCACCTGCCACATGCACGGCTCCAGCTCGCAAGGCTGCAGTCCCAGCTTCTTGAAATCGACCTTCACCGTCTCCCACCAGTGACGTGGGGCCTCCCCGATGCCGCACCCGGGCTTGACGACGCGTAGGAGCTCGCCCTCCTTCACCATGAAGGCCTTCTTCAACACGGCGTCGGGTTCGATGAACAAGTCCTTTCCCATCTCGTTTGCCTGCAGGAATGCCGAGGTGACGTCGCCCTTGATCAACTTCCAGTTGTGCGCAGCCGCGATAGTGAGCATCACGTTGCGAGCCCGTCTAGAGGCAGTTGGGCTAGCCGCAGGCTCCTTCCCGAGGTCCTTCGTCTGGTAGCCGAGGAGCACGAGTCGCGCCTTGGCCCTGCCGTCCGCCTTCCTCGTGAAGAGCCACCGCGCCCGGATGATGTCGGCGCTGTCCCTGACCTCAGACGCTGGTACTGGTCGGAGTCCACGATGCTGAAGCCAGTTGTCCGTCTCCTTAGAGATAGCCACCTCGAACTCTGCCCTCTCGGATGCGTTCATCTTGGACAATGGGAGCTCGAGCTTGTCCTTCCGGCGCTGGTTGGCGACGGAGCTATTGAGAACTGCCTCCATCATGCGCTTGTCGGCGCTCCTGTCGGCCCCCTCGCTCTTGATGTACTCGAAGTAAACTGTCTGGTGCTCGTCTGCCCCCAGGAGAATGTCCAGGTTGTCCTTCTGAAGGTCCACCCAGAGCTCGCTCTCGCCCATGTCGTTGTTATCCTTCCGACGCTTCTCCGGCGGCTGATAGAGGTCCAGCTCCGGTCCACGATGTGTCATGCGGTACCGAGGGCGCGCTGAAGATGACGAAGCAGAAGGTTCCCCTGGTGCTGCTGGCGTTGCTCCTCCAGCGGCTGGTGCTTCAGCTGGAGGCAGGGTCAATGGCGGAGGCTGTTGAGGTGCCTCTGCTCCTGCGGGCGGTACCATCTCCGGGTCCTGTGCGTCTTCGGAGGGTTCGCCTGGTTCAGCTTCAGGTTGAGCCATGGACCTCGGTGTAGTGTGGCTCGACTCTGGTATATGCGTCTCCTCCTCCGTGGCAGCGGGAGGTGGCGCTTCTGCCCCATCTCCTGGTCGGGACGCCTCGGTGGTCATCGGGGGCTCGTACGCTGTGAGGTCCGGGCGGCGCTGCTCCACCAGGTCCTCGAACGTCCCAGCCTTGGCGGTCTCCAGGATCTCTGTCATGGTCTTCCCGAGGGAGGCCTGCTTCTTGAGTTCGGTCAGCATCTTCTCGGTTTCGGAGGCTTGTCGTAGATGCTCGGGCGCGCACCTGATCAACGTGTTCCCGTGGGCGATCCAGACGACCGAGGTCACCCGAGTGCGGCCGTCGATATGCCGTTTTTCTTGAACAAGTACTCGTGCAAATCCGTGCCACCCTCCTTTCTTGCCAGGTCGGTTCTCCCGTCCCTTGCCGTCACGCCAGAAGTGCACGAGGTCGCCGGCCTCCCAGGTCTGGTAGATGCGGTTCCTGGCTTGCTCTGCATGGCGTCGCCGTTCTGCGTACTCGCACTCGAGGTAGCTCGGGTGGGCCAGAAGTCTCCTCTGCTCCTGCGTCTCGCCGGTGTCCCCGTCGATGATGGCGAAGGGGTTGTTCGAGGGTGCCATCCCTGTTACGCCCAGCACGTGCTCGAACGGGGAGTGATTCCCCACCTTGTCCATGGAGTTGATCGCACTCACGGCCCAGGTGACCAGCTCCTGCGTGCTGCAATCGGGGTCGTGGGTGGCCATCTTCGTCATGAGGCGCTTGAAGAGCTGTATGCGACGTTCCACCTTGCCCATGAGCCAGTGCGCCTCCCCAGGTGCGATCCACATCTCGATCCCATGGTCGGGGGCCCACTTCGCGACTGTCTGAGAGCAGTGGCACCCATCTGGATCCATGCGAAGAAGGGCAGGTTGACGGCAGTGGCTGCACCACGAACCCACGTAGAGATCACCTCGATGGCTGATCGGTTGCCGCTGCGCTCGCCCTTCTGCCCGTGGTAGGCGACGCTGGTGAGGCCGGACCCCTCGTCGAGGCTCAGGGTCATGATGTGGGAGGTCTGATGAGGTGAGAGCCACTCCAGTCCGTCCGTGGCGAGGACTTCTAGCACGCTCGGAATCTCCACACCTGAGGCCACTCGCACAGCTTTGGGAAGCTTCCCGATATGGCAACCATGGCATTGAAATTGAAGGGCCAGTCGTAGTACAGGGACCGCTGCACCAGAGGCCTTGAGAATCTTGTAGAGTGTCTGGTTGCTGGGATGCCCCAGGTTGCGATGAAGTCGCGCGAGTCTCTGTTCGATCTCTGAGATCTCCTTCTTCGACAGCTCCGTCTTGACACCCAAGCCTTTGAGGGAAGCCTCGGCGGTCTCCATCTCGACGTCCTCCTCCGGGTTCAGCTCCTCTAACTCGCCCGACATCTCGACGTCGTCCTCCTCTGGAATCTGTTCCAGGCCCGCGTAGATCTCCTTGCCGTACTGGGAGGTCACGTTCTTCTTGAGGATGTGCTTGGCCCAGGCTCGGCACATGGCAGGAGGATAGAAGGCTGTCTGAGCCACCAGAGGTCCGTCCTCGATGACACGATGCAGATGGTTATCTCCTCGTCCCGGTCGGTTGCAGCAGAGCCGGCCCGCCTTCGCTCCAAAGTCGGGGTCAGTAGAGCACACTCGCCACCCCTTCTTCACCAAGAGTCCAGACCTCTCGTCACGAAGTCCGTAGGCACACCCATGAATGATCGTCTCGTGCATCTCTGACCGCATCTTCTTGATGGAGGGTGACCTCGACCAGCTGCGGCTGTTCCAGGGCTGCTCTAGCTCGATGTGGCAATCGACTATATTCTTCGCCTCCTCGTACAGAGCCAGACACCCCCGCTGGATCCTGCGCGCCTGTCGGATCTTGTTCGAGAGCTGCTTCCTCTGGTTCTCCGTCTTCTGGTTCAGGTTCTGGATGGGACAATCTGCTGTGCACGGTGGGCTTAACGCCAAACGTCGAGGTCGTGCCAGTCGAAGGAGATGCATGGCCCTGCGGACTCCTGTGGCCGTGCCCATGTCATAGCCGTTGAAGAGCCCACACCGCATCACCCTGCCGTGCTGCGCCTCCACCGCCTTGCCGAGCAACGACTCGTTCGGGCAGCACACCTCCATGAGGTCCGCGCGCTTGGTCTTGGTCAGGTTGACGGTGTCCTCGCCAATCTCGAAGTAGATCTGGTCCATCACCTTGATCTGCGCCTGGTAGAACGCGATGAGATCCGAGTCATTCAGGGACTTCAGCGGCCCCGCTTCTTCACGGTCTCCGTCGCCTCCGAATCGTCCAGCATGCTGTCGTCCGGCACTGGCAGAAAACCCCAGGGCCCCGCGGGGTCGCACTTCGCCAGCTTCGACGCCAGACGCCTCCACCGCATCGCCACGGCCTGACTTCGGATGTCCCCTAGCGCTTCGCTGGGGGGTTCCTTCTCCGAGGTCGAGTCGTCCGGATGCAGGCGTAGGCATCGATGGCTCCTTCCTCCGCGGCAACTGCATCCCTTGACCGTGCGGTTGGGTGCCTGGCAGCATGAGCACCTCGATCGAACTGTTGAGCTCGGTGGTGTCGGAGGCGGTGGCGGTGGTTGCAGCGGTGGTCCTGCTGGTGGAGTCGCTGGCACCGGGTAGCCCATCTCCAGGAACGCTTCGGGAGGCGTCGCACGTAGAGCAGCAGGTGGCCATGCAGGATGAGGTCCGCACCGTGCCTGGAGTCGAATGCAGTAGTGGGACATGCCGCCTTTGCAGCTGCATCCCCTCCGAGTCCGTCCCACAGCCCCGCAGCACTGGCATCGTCCTGGTGGCTGGTACTGCACTGGTGATCCCGTTGGACTGTTGATCGGCATCTGCTGTGGTGGTGTGGCCGGTGCTGAGCCCGCTGTCGAAGGGGCTGGCGTCGGCGTGGCAGGTGAGGATCCTGCCCGAGTCCTCGGACGCGCCCACTCTGGTCGCGCCGACGGCGGCTGCTGTCGCGAAGAAGAGTCTCCACTTGACATCAGACGCGTTCTGATGTAGGATATGGAAGAGCTGAACTGCTGGGAATCTCGGAAGTTCCTGCACAACAATTTGGGCCACACGAGGCTGAGGAATACCATTTGGCTTCTTGGGGTTCTGTTCGGGGTTCTCCTCTGGCAGGCGCATCTCGTTTCTCTCGGAAGGTCCCCCGAAGCTCGCCCTAGTTGTCCTCTGGGTACCCCTAGAGCTTCCCCTCGTACTAGAACCTCTCGTCGCCTCCGAAGTCCCCGAGAATGTCCAGGAGCCCCCCTGTGTACTCGGACTCCGTGTCGCCCCTGACGGCCCCGAGAGCGCCCCCCACCTTGTCCCACTCGAACCCCTGGTCGTCATCGGCCTCGGGCTGCTCGAACGTTGAGATGTCGTGGGTCTTCTCTCGGTCGTGCATCGCGTCGCTCTCGGTCGACTCGAAGGGGGCTGGCTCGAGGTCTCTCCTGGAGATGTGGACCCTCTCGAGGTCCTCGAGGCTCCCTGGGCGCGGCTGCCCCCTGGACCGGGAAAAGAACCTGGGCTCCTTGAGCATCTTTCTGTTGGCCCCCCCCCGATGATGAGGATGACGGTGGAGATGATATCTCGCTCGCCGACATCACCAGGGGGTGCTGCCCCTAGCGCGCGGCGAGGCAGCCAGCGCAGCCCGTCACGGGCTCCTCCGGCTTCTCATCCAGCACGACGGAGTCCCGCTCTGTCATGTTGACGTGGCAGCTCTCCAGGAACAAGGGTAGAGAGACCTCGCGCCACCACTGCGGTGTCGAAAGGTTGATCGCCAGGTGCTTGCTCGAGAGCCTCTCGCAGTAGTAGACCTTGTTGCCCAGCGTCGGCAGCCCGATCCAGTTGCGGCCGCAGTCGACCACTACCTTCAAGTCGTCCGTCAGGATGTCCATGCCCAGGAGAATGGGGACGCGGTTCGCCATCACTGAGAGGCTGATGTCTCGAAACTCCGGTCCCAAGTAGACGCGTCCAAAGACAGTTCCCATCGAGCTCTTCTGGAGCCCGTCGCCGAAAGTGAAGGAGCAGGTGTCGTCGTGCGTCTCGAACTCCACGTCGTGGTTCACCAGCATCTCGTACATGAGGTTCTCTACGCTCTCGACGCCACCGAGACTGCGCGTAGCTCCAATGTCCAGCGCGGCCCAGATCCCCTCGCGCTCAAGCAGGTAGACGTACTCGTCCAGGGCCGACAGGATGAAGCCGTTGTGCGTGTTAGTCGTGCCTCCAGTGGCGCCGCTCCCGACCTTGCCACGGTCGGGACAGTCTCGAGCTCGATGTCCGAACTGTCTGCACACGATGCACTTCATCTTGGACAGGCCTTGCGCACCTTCAAAGCGAACTCGTCGATCTTGTTGTCCACGTCCACGCCCTTTAGCATGTCCTCGGGGCCGCCCCTCAGCGCGAGACTTCGGCGGCGGAGCTTGTCGTCCATCTTCTCGCGGAACCACCGCCGGGCAGTAGTCCCTTGCTACTCGTACTTGTCGAAGGAGATCCCTGGCATCCTTGAAGCTCCGGCCAGCTTGGCGAAACTGCACGAACACCTCACTGTCCGCCTCCAAGTCGTCGGGCTCCACCTCCTCCTCCTCGTCCGCAAGGTTGAGGAGCTGCTCGGCCAGCTCGTAGATCTCCTCCGCTTCCCCACCAGTCTCGCCCTCGTCCTCCTCGAAGTCGTTCTCGAACAACGCCCGCTCACGCTTGGCCTTGCCATCCAGCTCCGCAAGAGCCTCCGCTGGGAAGCGCGTGAGCAACGTCTTGTAGGTCTTCGCGTAGTTGAAATCCCCTCCCGCGGTCGCCGTCACTTCACCTCTGAACACGGGGGTGAGTCTCGACTTCCGCAGGAACCACCATGTGCGAAGAGGTTTCGCTGCACTTCTTTCACGTCCAGGTCGATGGCCTGCAGCTGGGCCAACAGCTCCCCCTCCTTCTTCTCGAACCGGGCCGCCCAGTCCTCAAAGGTCTCTCCCGAGTTGCGGCCTATCTTCAGGAAGAACTCCTCAGCCAACAGACCCGTGTCGTTGAGGCTGGTGTAGTCCAACTTCTCAAGCACATAGTTGAACACCTTCTCCCAGCCGACTAACTTTCCGTTGTCATCCACCTCGTCTACGTCGTTGATCGATGGGGCAGCTCTCCACGGCGTTCCGAACCCGCGGCCCAAGCGCCCTGACCAACTGTGGACCGCAGACGTAGCGGTCGTTCACTCTGATGCTTTTCGCGAACATCGACACCTCGAAGCGGTAGCTCGACAGCTTCTCTGCCTCACCGTTCCAGGATGGTACCTCTACTCGTGATGGTGCCGATGTCCCTGCCGGCGTTGTCCTCGTGACGAGACTGGTGGGAGCCCGTGGCGCGGTTACCACAGGCTCCGCTACCAATCTGAATCCCGAAGAGCCTCAAGAGGTCCCTGAAGTTCTCGAACTTGCTCACCTCTCTCTCTCCGAAGA